GCAGAGATGCATTTCAGCCCTGTTGGGGAAACAAATGTAATTGCGTGACACAAGTTCATAATGATGGACACTTTTCATTTATACAAAATTGAGTCGTGCTCCAGGGAAATCATGAGAAATGCAGAGACACTTAATTCCAGCACAGTATAAAATATGCAGCCTTTGAGTCAGAATTGTATGTTTTACAAGTAAACCTATTTTCAAAGAAAATCTGTGACTGAGGAGGATTTTTGCAGCTAAAACACATCAAGTTCCCAGGCTGCCAAGGGGAAGGATGACAATTCAGTTAGACATATCAAAGAGAAAATCTTGCAACGCTGTAGGGAATGCTATCTTCAATGAAGTGAAATAGATTTTTTAAAGGGAGTTGCATTTGATGTCAAATATAGGACAAGTACACCAGAGAAAGGGGACCAGAATGGTCAAGTCTGAAGAGTCTGGCATATGAAGCAAGTGGAAGGACCTAGTGATGTTTAAACCAATATAAACAAGAATTGGGGGTGACACATGTCTGTCTTGTTGTGGAGGCTTCATAAAGATACTTGTAGGTCCTTTGGCCCACCTAAGAGAAGTTGATGTCTGTTGTTCTTGCCTGTCCAACAACCCCACTGCTATTCTCCAGTGCCATATGTTGTGGTAAAGCCCACAGACATGGGTCCTCATCTCTACCCTGCAACCAGCTGTGTTATCCCCACACCACAATGATTGGTTAAGGGAAGAGTGTGTGACTCAAGCAAAGCCAACCAAAGTTCTTCCATGAGAAACGGCATTTCGGTTTCTCCTCCTGTGGACTCAGACTTAAGGATGCTTTAAGACTCACATTGCCGGAAGCTATTTTTCTGAACTCAGCGTGAAAAGGAATCCAACAGGAAAACAGGACAGAAACAAATAAGGAATATATAAAGACAGAAACAGACGTAGAGACAGGGAGGAACCACAGACAGAAAGAGAAGGAAAGGCAGAAATAAAGAGGGGAGGGGGACTGAGACAGAGGGAGAGAGCTAGGCTGCATGGCATTGTTCAAATCCTCCAGAGAGCCATGTCTGAAGCCAGACTTTTGAGATAATTGAGCCAATCAATTTATGTTATGTCCCGTGGTGCTGAAAAAAGACCCTACTTATCATCTGGTAAGCAAGTTGGTAAGAACTCTATAGTCAAGCATTTCATTTGGGTACATACAGGAAAAGCCCTCTTCAAAGGCTAATTTAAAATGTAAGTGCATTTGGGTAAGCTAAAAATATATTCACATAACAAATCTGCTTAATGGATATAAAATAATTGGAATTTAGAGGGAGCGATACTTTACAGTAGTTACCTCTTAGGAGTATAGCTGTAAAGGTAGGGAGGAAATTGGGGACACTTTTGTGTATTACTTGTGAAATGATGACATGTTTATAATGTTCAGGTAGTATGTGTTTTTTTTTTAAAACTATGGTGATTAGAAAAGAGATTGTTGAAACAGATCAAACACAAGTTTGTGGAGATGGCTGTGAAAGTTGGAGGGAGGAAGAATCTGCTAACGGGAGAGTGGAGGCTCCCAAAAAAATAAGTATAAAAAAAAAAGAATCTAGGGCATTCTGTGAGAAAGCAGAGAGATGCACTGGCTGAAGGTTTCTACATTCCAGTGGTGCTCTGACTTCAAAGGGAACTCCTAACACCGAACTCAGAACGTTCTCGGCCAGTTGAGGAATGTGCTGGCCCAGGAGTACTTTCAGATAAAGGTTCCAGTGGGTACTCTTGCATTACAGAAGTGTTAACTTCTAGCAAAGGGAAAAAACGTTAGCTTAAAACATATTATTTCCAAAATCAGTAAAAGTGAAGTTTTCCAATACCAATCCAATTGACCATCCAGTCTAGCCAGCTCCACCCACAGTAGCACCTATATAACCATCACTGATGGTCTGGTGTACTCCCCCCACTCACCCATGCATACCCAGATACAAACATCTATATATTTAGTTTAGAAAAGTGGAATTATTATAAACAATAAAGTCTGAAACTTGCTTTTTTTCTTCATATAACTCACCAGGGATATCTTTCTAAGACAATACCCAAAGCTATTCTTCATGATTTTTAATGGTGGTGTTATAGTATTCCACTTTTAAAACCAGTGCTCTGTTATAGATACTTGGTTGGTTTTCATTCACCACAGAAACTTAGATTTAAAATAATCAATGGTACTTTATGCTTTGATGCAGTTCTGACCTCGCATGACCTATATTATAGGATGCATGGATTTTAATTACGCTTTGTAAATTATTTTTAATGAGGCAATAAGCTTTCATTAATAGGATTCAATTCTCACCCAGCTGGCGTGGCTGTGGTTGAGCATCAACCTATGAACCAGGAGGTCATAGTTTGATTCCTGGTCAGGGCACGTGCCAAGGATGCAGGCTTGATCCCCAGTGTGGGGCATGCAGGAGGCAGCCAATCAATGATTCTCCCTCATCACTGATGCTTCTATCTCCCTCTCCCTTCCTCTCTGAAATCAATAAAAAAAATAAATAAAAATAGAAATAAAAATGTAGGATTCAATTCTCAAAGCACCTGGAAGCATAGTGGATAGAGAATGGGAGTTGGGGAAATGTATTTCATAATGTTTTGCTTTGATCTAGGGGTCTGCCATCTGGGTGAAATTGGGATTCATAGTGAGTGTTCTTGCTCGAGAGCCACTACCCTTTCTGAGTCATCCCTGCAGATTTTCAGCAGCTCTAGAGAGCACAAGCATCATGCCAGGAGTCACATGACCAGCGATGACATCGCACCTCACTGAGACACTCACTCTGTGCTCTGCCCCAGCCTAGCCAAGCCCAACTGTCATGGGAGGGACACAGCAAAAGCAGAAGCCAGATGATAAACAAAATCATACTCTTCCAGGCTAACCTGTTGCCCTGTGATGTCCAGCACCAACCTTCCAGCCCAGAGAAAATATCACTCTTGGAACAGGGAGACACCTGGCCCGTGTCCCAGGCTCCCAGAGGAAAACCAAACCATCTGATTCCATTTTACTTACGGAGTTGGGTTTCTGATGTATACAATCAGAGAAGGAAATGAAATTATTGGCAGCATTCTTCTCAAAGAGAATGTGCTATACACTCCGTTTGTTCAATAGTGTTTACGAAACACCTTAATCAGTATTGATGTGATTATTGCTTAACTGTCAACTTCCCCCAGTAAAAGGTAAGTTCCCTGAGGGCAGGGGCCTTATCATTATTCATATGCCTGTGTTTTCCCTCACTGATGGAGACAGATATTTAAGAAAAAAATTTTTTTATTATGATTGTGGTTTTAATTATAATTGCCCTAAGTTCTCAAAGGAGAATGTGTTTTGTGGGGTCAGAGAGGCCTTCTGCAATCAAGAGAGGACTGAGGTAAAATCTGAAAGGCATGCAGGAGAGGAGGGGGCAAAGGAACTTTCCAGGCAGAGGGAGGAGCCAAGGTCCTGTGATGGCTGAGCATGGAGCACTGGAAAGAGAGAAAGGCCAAGATAAGAGAAATAAGGTTGCCTTGATCCCTCAGCTTTGCCTTGTCCAAGTTCCTATAACACTTCCGGTCTCACTGTTCATTTGAGTAATGATTACATGCAGGATACCCTGGAGGATTTCCATATATTGTCTAGTTCCTTCCATTTTATTATTTCGAATGTGAACTTTCATCCAGTATATACTGATTGTCTTAAAAAGTCTTTCATGTAATTAAGTCAGACTGTTATAAAAAAAGCTAATTCAGATAAATTTCAAACTATGGCACAGCATGGGTCCTGGCTTTCAACCAACAATTCAGCTTTATCAGTGTCATCACGCCTAGTTATAGAGTGGAATCTCATTATACATACATTTAACTTAAGCACATTCATCTCTAAGTTCTTGGCAGAGAGAGGGAGAGAGACAATGTATATAACGTAGGCTATTATACCTCCCATTCCAATCAAAGAGCACCTGTCCCACAGATAGGATATGAATCTGCTGCCCGCCCACCCCACCCCAAGCCGCTGGGTTCAGTCCCTAAGGCTTTTCCCAGTGTGACTAATTCTCTGGGAACACTCTGATTTTAGTGTTGAAAGGCACATATTTTAGATAAACCATAACCTCCAATTTTAGTCCACTACTTTTCCTTTTTCTCAGTGAAAGAAACAGACACCTAACCCAAGACTGGAGGAAACCCTGGTCTGCTGGACTACTCAAGAGGCAGTGAGAGACTGTCCCTGGTAATTCTGATCACGTGATTTACATACCGCTTTCTTTGGAGAACGAACCCCTAAGACATGGCTACAGTGATGGCTACACATGTTCGTGTGATCCTCTGACTTTTAAATTGCATTCTTCCTTAACTGTTAAACACCCATGAACAGGAATCAGAAAATCAAAAGTACTGGTACAACTAACATACCTACATCTCCACAAATGAGGCAAAGATGGAGATCATTAGGCCTTCTGAAGTCAAATGTGAAGAAAAAGAACAAGATTATGCAACCGAATGAACTGCTAGCCTTGGGTCCCGAAAGCAAACAATTATTGGGAATTTTATTATCATCTTTAACTTTCTGGAAAACAGTCTTTACAGTCGCAGACGTATACCTACAGTTATGATACAGACACATTTTCAGGAGAAGGTCATGGTCAAACACAGAGCACTACCCTTCTGTACCACCCCTGCAGTCTATTGGGCAAATGTATCAATTCTTGCCACTCAGCTCCCTCAGCATTTTGTTCATGCCACCTGTACACAAGTTAGAGCTCTTTGGTGACCTCGAGCGCTGGTATCTGTCTCTACCTGGATGGTAAGCTCCTTGCAGGGACAGGGTAGGCCTTCCTAATCTCTGTCCACAGGGCCTCAGAGAATGCCCTCTGAAAAGACTGAGAAGTGAATGGGTAAGTGAATAACCAGATTTACTCTCTAAGATTCATTTCTAATGAATCAAGGAAGAAAGACATATCCAGCAGTCATCAGGCTATTGTCTCCAGTCCAGAGCTCCGCAGTGCACGCCGATCTGTCCTTACCTGTCCAGAGAAATGCAGCACAGGTGAAAAATTGATGCTGTGGTGAGCAGGACGTCTAGAGAAGTCCGGACGAGGCAAAACATCTCCCCGTAAATCCAGATGTCCTGAACCAGCTCAATGGCACCGAAGGGCATCACCAGCACGGAGACCAGCAGATCCGCAAAGGCAAGAGAGACAATGAAATAGTTGGTTTTTATTTTCCTGTGAGTGAAAAAGTATAAGGACGAGGCGGGGGGAGGGGGCCAAAGGAAGGGGTTTAGAGAGAAAGAAGAGAGAGAGAGAGAGAGAGAGCAGAGGTAAGGAAAGAAAAGAAAGGAGGAAAGGAAGGAGGGAGGAAAAAGAAAAAAAAAGTCAAACGTGTAACGTATCTTGTGACGTTGTTTCTCTCTGCAATGTGGCTGGGGAAACCCCGTGTGATCGGCCACTTCTAAATTCTCCAGATTCCTCTCACACCCAGAGCCCTCCCTTCCTCTCCCCTCTGGCCACACGCCTGATTGATTAGAGTCCCTGTGGGGGAGCTCCTCCCAAGGGCCTTTGTGCTCTCTCCCTGCTATGGGCTTAGCTACCTACCCCCCACCAGTCTTGCAGGCCTCGGATTGTTCATTCTCAGGGAACCTCCCAAGGTGCCCCCCTCACAAACGGTGTCAAATTCCACTACTTTCTCCTCTCGCACTGGCTCGCATGTGCCTCTCATTTGTGAGACCTACCAGAAGTATGCTTTTATATCTGTTGCATCACTAATGCGTGTCTCGCTTAGAGAGGAAGGCAGTAGGCAAGACAGGACTACATCCTTTATCCCTTTTATGGTTGTCTGGTGGCTCTTCATCCAGGCTGCACACTAGAATCACCCAGTGGATTTTCATAAATACTGATGCCCAAGTACCACCCCAGATCAATTAGTTCAGGGACTTGGGGTGATTAATACCCCCATCCACACCCAGGGTTGCCAGATAAAACACAGGATACCCAGTTAAATTTGCATTCCAGGTTAACAATGAATAATTGTTTAGTATAAGTATGTCCCAAATATTGTCTGGTATATACTTATACCACATAGTAGCAATTTTCAAAAGGTCTTCAGGTGATCTTAATGGCAGCCAGGGTTCAGACTGATGAAGTGGAAAGAGAAGAATCCGGGTTTAAATCCTAGACCAGTCACTATCAGCCATGCCTTCTCTGAACCGACTGATAAAGTGGGGAGGATAGATTAGATGTGCTCTCAATATATGTACATACAGTGATCACAAACTTCCAAAAAAAACCCCAACAAAATTAAACATAGGAAAAAAGACAGGATAGAAATGCACTTAAGTGTTTACACTGGTCATGTTTGAGTTGGGGGGCGATGTATGATCCTTTTCCCTTGCTCTATTTCCAAACATCGTCCCCCTGTATTTTTTCCCTTTTGTAAGTACAAATTATAATGGAAATTATAAGTGCAGACCCCGACTGTCTAGGGAGAGCCCAGACCACCACCCAGGCTTCCTGCCTCATGAGGCTTCCTCATGCTACTCACCTGAGCTGCCGGTCTCTGCACACGGCCACCATCACCAGAAGGTTCCCCAAGATGGCCATCAGGATAACCGCGGAGAGAAACGTGAGCAGCACGACCTTCTCCACTGACCGGAAACCCTCCTTGGAACTGGAAGACAGACCGACAGACACACATACACACAAAGATTGAAGGAAACCCTGACACACAGGCAAGAAAATGAATCTTTTCCTCATTCACGTTCAGGAAGGGCACTGCACCATAAGCAGCTGCAACACAGAATAATTATGCACCTATTATATGCCATTGTCTGCACTTGTCACTTTATGTGATATCTTAGTTAAACCCTACAAAACAGGGAGGCGGAAGCTCAGACTTGAATGAACTACCCTGAGACTGAACAGTTCTTCTCCATCAGAGAGCTCGTGGCTTTCCTTCAGGGCACTTCCTCAGTTTACGCTGAGAAATGTATTTGGGCGATTCCTGTTTTATGCACCTACGCACCCAGTAACCTCCATGAAGCAGGTGCCTCATATGGTTCATCCATTGATAAATTCAACTCCAATGCGTTATTCACATTTCTTGAGTGAAGGAAAGATGGTGTTGAATGGATGAATGACAGTAACTTGAACCAGGTCTGCATGAATACAGAGGCCACCTGCTGTCAGGACCCCAGCGCGGCCCATGCAGAAGCTGCTGTGCACAGGCAGGCTGTCTCGGGCACAGGTCTTGGCCTGAAGATTGTTCTTATGTAGCTGACCTGCAAAAATTGGTCTCAGATTCTGTGGAGTCCATTGGAAAGACAGCAGCTGATCACTAAATGTAAGAACTCATTTCACTGCCCTAAACCACATTTCTTTTGTTGCCCAACACAACAGTTCAAATTTGTGTGTTCTTGTCAATTTTGGCATCTGATATGATTCTATCAACTCTGCTATCCTAGTACGAATCATTTTGTTTTATTAACTTGGAAGTGAGTGTTCCCGTCAATAAAAGCATAATGTTCGCAAATTATTAAGAAGCTTCAGAAAAAAAAGTTTTATTTCTATTAGAGCAATAAAAATGGTTTTTAATGTATCTTTATTTATTGATTTTTTTTTACAGAGAGGAAGGGAGAGGGATAGAGAGTTAGAAACATCGATCAGCTGCCTCCTGCACACACCCCACTGGGGATGTGCCCGCAACCAAGGCACATGCCCTTGACCGGAATCGAACCTGGGACCCTTGAGTCTGCAGGCTGACGCTCCATCCACTGAACCAAACCAGTTAGGGCAATAAAAATGGTTTTTAGATGAAGTTTCCAAGGACCTTAAAATTCTCAGACCCAAACCCCACATATCAATACAAGACACTGAGGCCTGGAGAGAGGAGCGAAGTTGCCAGACCATTTCAGTGGCTGGTCTGGAAGGGGCTGCTTGCCCTGTGAGCCCCCCTCTGGAACCACAGAGTCTCCAGAATCAAGAGATATGTCTTTACTGAGCTCCTTTGACTCAAAGCCAAGATATAGCCGCTGGCCCCACATGGCAGCAGCCCACCAAGCCCTGGCTCTGGTGTTGTCCAAGACTGGCCTGGCACGAAAGACAAGATGCTGATGAGGAAAAGGCAGCACTGTCACAGGGGCTGAAGAACCAGAGCATCCCTCCACTCTACTGACAGGTGTTTTTCTTAGCTGATTGACTGACTGACGGATGGATGAATTGACGACTGTATGCCTAGGGTTCGGATGAAAAGCAATTCTAGGTATATTCATCTAAATCACTCTTCTACATCTAAATTCCAGCTATCAACAGTACAAATACTGGACAGGGAAGATTTTATTCAATGAGGAAAATGGCCTTAACAGGGTGATGTGGCTACCCAAAATTAATCTTACCTTAGGCCAGAGGTTCTCAACCTGTGGGTCGCGACCCCTTTTGGGGGTCGAACGACCCTTTCACAGGGGTTGCCTAAGACCATCGGAAAACACATATAGAATTACATATTGTTTTTGTGATTAATCACTATGCTTTAATTATGTTCCATTTGTAACAATGAAATTGGGGGTCACCACAACATGAGGAATTGTATTAAAGGGTCGCGGCATTAGGAAGGTTGAGAACCACTGGCTTAGGCCCTGTTAGCTGAGGTCAAGTGTCTAACAAAAGAGGTGATAGTGGGGATTTTCCTTGTCCTTCTCAGAGGTTCCTACTCAGAGCCCCTCTGAAACTTGTTGCCTCTCCAGGCCTCTGTACTAGCTGTGCCTTCCTCCTGGGATGCTTCCTCCGTGTTCCAGGTCTCACATTAAAGTTAACCCCCACTTAATGCGACACAGCCAACATTTTCCCTTTTTTTATAGCAGTTACTGTTACCTGAAATGAGTTCTGCTACTGATGCTTGTCTGTGCCCCACCCCCAAAGATTCACCTCACTTCTCTGTTCCAGCACAATTTCCAGTGCCAGGCACAGTCTACTCTACAGTGTATAGGTGTGTGTAGTACATAGGAAGTGCTCAATTATTTGCTTATTGAGTGAGAGAAAGGCATATTGTATTCGTAATGATGAGGTTTATCCTTCAACGTCTTTGATAACGGATGGAAGGTACGGAGAAGATTTTCCCTAGAGAAGCCCCAGTAGGAGACACAAAAGCTATTTTTAACATCTGAAGGGCTGTCATTTGAAATAAGAGATTTGTACATGCACTCATTCAACAATTCTTTCTCAGCACCTTCTCTGCACTAGGAATTGTTGTGTGCCCTAGGGAAGCAGAAATGAGCAAAACAGAGAGCAGGCGATGGTAGGTAAAAAGAATGTATGTAGAACGTCAGCTGCCAATACACACTATAGCAAAACATCTAGAAGGGACAGCAGGACAGGCCTGCCAGAGAGCGCAGTGCTTTTAATAGGGGTCGTCAGAGAAGGCTCAGTGACAGGTCTGTTGCACTTTATGCCCTGCAGGCTGTGTAAGGAAGTGAGATGAGTGAGCAGCAGGCTTTGAGTTGAGTAGGTTCTCAGCTTGGCTACATATTGAAATGACCCGGGAGTCAGGAACATTGATGTTAGGGCTGATTTAATCAGTCTGGGTTGCTGCCTAAGTACTGGACTTTTTTCAAGTTCCTAAGAGATTCTGTTGTGCAACCAAGGTTGACAATCCCTGCTGGAGAAAGGCGAGATTTAGAAATGGCTAATGAGAACTTTCTAACAACTAAGGGTGATCTGCAATAGCTTCCTGCTGCTGTGTTGAGCTCCAGCTTAGGAAGTGCTTCAGAATGACTGTATGTCCATGTGCTATCACTTCACACCCATTAGGGTAGCTGTTATAAAAACAAAACAAGAGTGAAAAATTACAAGTGTTGTGAGAATGTGGAGACACTGGAACCTTTGTGGATTGCTGGTGGTGATGTAAAATGGTGCAGCTGCTGTGGAAAACAGTTCGGTGGGTTCCCAAAAGGCTAAATATAGAATGACCGTATGACCCAGCACTTCCAGTCCTAAGTATATACTCCAAAAAATTGAAAGCAGGGACATGAGTAGATACATATACACCAATGTTCATGGAATCATTATTCACAATAGTCAAAAGGTGGAAACAACCCAAGTGTCCATCAAAAGATAAACAGATCAACAGAATGTGGTATACATACACTATGGAATTTTACTCAGTCACAAATTTCTGATACATGCTATAACATGGATTAAACCTTAAAAATACTGTGCTAAGTGAAATAAACCCAACACAAAAAGACAAATATTGTACGATTCCACGTATATGAAGAGCCTACAATAGGTAAATTCATAGAATAAGTAGAATCATGGTTACCAGGGCTAGCAGAAGGGAGGAGGAAATGGGGAATTACTTAATGAGTTCAGAGTTTCTGTTTGGGGCAATGAAAAAAAATTCTGGAAATGGATAGTGGTGGTGGTTGCACACCATTGTGAATGTACTTACTGTCACTGAAGTACATTTAAATGGGCTACTTTATGTATTAATGATACATTTTATGTTATGTATAATTTATCACAATAAAAAAGAATACCTGGATGGCCATATATCAGGATATTGTATAGGGCTCCTATATTGGAGGCAAGTGCGATTGACTGATTGTAGTTCTCTCTCTTGTCTATGGACAATGGTCTGAACATGTCCATCCACAAGAGACTCAGTATTAGAACCATCTCCCCTGCACTGCCTCTCCTCTTGTAGGAGAGAAAAAGCAGATTCAGGGTATATGGTGAACATTTCTGGCTCCAGATAAGGTATATTTCAAGCCAAATGAGAATGTTAGGGCCAGAGAACCCCAAGTTCAATGTTATGGTTCATTTGTGGTATGCCAATTAGGAGCTAGAAATAGCTAGACTTTAAACTGTGAGTGACAAGCACAATTTAACCACAGAAGGAGTATTTTTAATTAGACAGAACTGTCCACTGAACCAAATGTTAAGTCCAGTAATGATGATTAAAATAAACTAGGAACCACTTTTGCTAAATCTATGTTAGGCCCTTGGGTTACCTTTGACATCCTCCAAGAATACTGTCAACCACTACTAGACAGCTCCCATCTGACCAAAGAGCCATGTTTGCTCCACTAACTAGGATCTTTGACATTAGTCTTATGGGAAATTTTACTTTTTCTTCTCCTTCTTTTTTTTTTCTTTTTCAGTGATCTCTTGATCCGTTAAATAAAGCAACTCCAATTTAAAATGTCACTTGGTTTTTCTGAGCTTCCTGAGTTTCTTCATGGGTCAATTGAGGAAATCAGATTAAATGTTTCATTTATCAAATATATACTGATTGCCAACTATATGTCATGTCATGATGTGTGCTAAGCCCTAGCCGGTTTGGCTCTGTGGATAGAGTGCTGGCCTGTGGAATGAAGGGTCTCAGGTTCAATTCTAGTCAAGGGCACATGCCTTGGTTGTGGGTTCCATCCCCAGTAGGGGGCGTGCAGGTGGCAGCCAATCAATGATTCTCTCTCATCATTGATGTTTCTACCTCTCTCTCTCCATTTCCCTTCCTCTCTGATAAAAATATTTTTAAAAAGAGAGATAAAAAAAAAAACTGCTCCCCTATTATTTTTATCCTTGTATTCTTTTCCTTGAAGCACA